GTGTGTGTGTGTGTGTGTGTGTGTGTGTGTGTGTGTGTGTGTGTGTGTGTTTTCTACAAAACAGATAAGAACTTGTTCTTCATAAATAATTCTGTTTCTTCTTTTCTTTTTGTTCTCCTATACTCCAATTTAGCTCTGAATCTCACCGTTATACAGAGGAGAATAAAAAAATGGTTTATTTGAAAGAAAATCAGATCTGAATGCATGGATAATATGACTGTGGAAATATTACAACCTGCACTTAGGGTCCAACATCTACAGATGCTACAGACCTAATTGTCTAAATCTACAAACTAATGGTTCAAATCTGTCCAGCTTCATTTTAAAAAGTGTACTCCAGTAGATTAAATCATAAATGAGGGGGTGGCTGCTGAGGTGGGTACAAAGTGAGCCAATTGGCAGGTATGATGTAGCTGCAAGTGGGCAAGAAAACAATGTTCCTTTCCTTGAACACACACTTGCAGGCCATGCACTTAGTTGTGTTTACCAAAAACCGGTCGCTCGGAACATGACCACACAGCTTGCTGTTCACTGTGACTCTGCAACAGAAAGTTTGTTTATTTTATCCAAACGTGAGCTGCCAACTAGTTTCCAACGTGTCACAGACCAGTTAGATACTAGAAACAAGTAGTGTGCTGACATTGCATGTTTATTTATTTATTTTTGTAAAAGGTCTTCCTTAAAGAGGGGGAGTTACGTATTTTTCAGGCACATAGTTCAATTCTTCACCATGATCAAGTAACTGTTATCTTCCGCTGTTATGAAAATGCTGTAAAAATTTTGCATCAGTCTGTCTAACCACCTTAAAATTGGCCTCTGTCTCTTTAAGAACCTCCTACCGTTTCAGAAAAGGTATTATTTCTAAAACAGAAGAACTCGTGATTTTCCTCATAACTTCAGTTAAGAGAAGATGTAGCTCTTACCTTTACATTGGTCAAAGGTCGCCTTCTATGAAGGATGACCAACTAACTAACTATGCCTTTTAAACGGGCCTTTGACCATCTTGCATTGAGATCTGTTAATTCATTATATCTCAGCTTTTAAAACACCAGAGCTACAAATAAAAGCATTTTTACAAAGAAAAGGTCGTCATGTTGGGATGTGAGATGCGATTTGTAGTGCAGAATTTTCTGAGCTTTAGGAGAGTGCACGGTAAAACATTCAACTTATCAACTAAACTGGACTAACAGGGGCAACGTCAAAGAGGAACAACGAGCATGTTGTAGTTTACCTCGTAGACGTTAAACTGATTCTGCCCCCGAGACAGCTCTCTGTAGCTGGTGGTGAACTCTCCAATGAAGTCGTGGCTGCAGACAGCAAAAAACAAAACAAAACAAACAAAAAAAACAACATAAAACACCCACACAGACAAGCAAGCATGAAAACAAATTTCACAATCTGAGAGCAATTGCTCTGACTTTCTATCAACATTTCGCTTTCCATCTCAGCTCTAAGAAATCCTCCAATCCTGCGCAGCTGCTGTCCTTCCCAAAATGTTAGGTTTTAGAAAATAAAAGAAAAAAAGAAAAGCACACTTCTTCACATTTTTTACCTACAAAATCTACGCATGGCATTTAATTCTTTTTGATGTTTTAGAAAACCAGCGTGAAAAATAGGGGTATAGAAAATTGAAATGGGCAAATGCTTTTACCTTCCATCTCGATCCCAATCATAGACGTCTACTTTCACAGTCCTAAAAGAAAGAAAATAAAAAAGGAGAGAGAGTGAACATCACTTGCGAGATGTTCTTTACCACATCATCTTCTGTCAATAAAGAGAACAGCAAGTTCTGTTGGAAAAAAAAAAACATCTTTCCTCTCCAGCTCACCAGGAGCAGATGGAACAATTACTTATTCACTGAATAAATAATACAGCAGACTGAAGTGGATTGTTAGCGCAGTGGGTACAGTTATTATCTGAACTCCGTGCTCAAACCAGTTTCCATCCGGTGAGAACGAACGAACAATTTCACACGAAGGAGCGAGTGATGAATAAAAGATCTCGACTTTGCATGTATTACCATGCCAACGGTCCGATATAAGGTACGTTGTTGAGCTGATGTGAACGACGCATCTTTTGGCTAAAGCATCTCAGGTTATTGAAAGTCATTAGCATATCAAGCGGGGAACTGGTTATACACAAAGTCCTTCATGTTAAGCGCTTTGCATCATCTGTGAGACCAAAATAAAGACTGTCCACAGTGTTGTAGAAAAAAAACATGACTTTAAACTTTTTTTTTCTTTCTGGAGGGGTTGAAAGTTGCCCTTTAATTTTCCAATATTTGTAAGCACAAACAAACTCTAATCTCTGGCTTCCAAAGAACCATAAAAGGGATGAGCTCTTGACTCTACTGAACCTGCAACAGTGTGCTCAGAGAAACTGTCATTATGAAATTAAAATGGCCTGCTAGACCGTTTATGCAGCTTCTTCAAGAACAAAAGCACTGACTGTGCATACATTACTCATTGTAACATCTGTGATTTTGGGCTTGAGAAATTCTGACGCTGGTTTAGGTTTTGTTTAGCAGAAATTTAGGTTCAAAATTATTATTTGCCTTAACGAGGCCCGTCCCACTGGAGGCAGCCTTAATGTATGTTTTTAGGCTGAACTTTTCATACATGCAACTGCAGAAATTCACAGCTACCTGGTGGAACTAGTTGAAGATTGTGTGCAATATTTTCTTTATTTTTCTTGAGCCTTACATGCACTTCACATGTACTTATTTATTCTTGAGATATTTTGAATATTTTTATAATTAAAGTGCAATTATCCTGTCTTTATTGCTGATTTTTACTGTGCTTTTAGAAAGTTTCTGAGTTTTCAACAAGTCTAGTTAATGCACGCCTCAAAAACATGTTTTTCACCTACATCACAATTGCATATATTTATATAAATACTTACAACATATTCTTATTCTAATTACTAAGAACCAAGTACAAGGCTTTTTTTTTTTGTTTGTTTTGACATTGCTCAAGATTTCCATGTGTCCCCACCCCACTGTTTAGACAGAGGGAGACTTTAAGTGGCCTGAGGAGGTTGTGTTAATCTTTGCATGTGCAAATAAATTTTCAAGTCTATAACTGAATTGGTTTCTGGCACATAGTTTGGGCTTGTACTTTGAACAGCTGAAAGGCTGGTTTTGATCTGGTTTCCTATTAGAGGTGTACATAGAGCAGGGGTGGGCAATCATGGTCCTCGAGGGCCGCAGCCCTACATGTTTTACATTTTTCCCTGCTTCAACACACCTGATTCAGTCACTGAACTACCTCTTCCAAGTTCTGCAGTATGGAGGACCGAAACTGACATAATTAGAAATAAAAGCAGAAACAGATAAATGAACCTTTAAGTAAATAAATACAATGAAATTGTACCAAATAAATTAAAATGAGAACTTTATCTCATGTTTTATAATTTAATTGACCTTCATATTTATTTTCCAGCTTAGTTCCAATAAATTATACATTTTAACACATAATTTATTAATGTTTTTAATACATATTTTACATATTTTTCCTTTTACTTGCACATGCATTTGTGTCTCTTGAATGCTTAAATTGAATTATTTTTATAATTTTGTCCAACGAGTCTTTTTATTTCTATGTGTTGCATGCTTCTGCTGCCGCAGTTTAGCTTAAAGTTTAGTTAAAAATAAATGCACAGGTATTTTTTTCCTCCTTGCCTTTGTTTTAAAATAAACTTTAAACTTTTAGCTAAACCGAGGCAGCACAAGCATGCAACACATAAAATAAAAAGACTTGTTGGGAAAAAAATATAAAAATAATTAAGTATAAACATTTAAGACACACAAATGCATGTACAAGTAAAAGGAAAAACAATTAGTTTATGTTTTAAAAACAGTAAAATTTTAATTTTCTGTTAAAATATATAGACTAATTTATTGGAGCTAACCTGGAAAAAATATGAAAGTCTATTAAAATATAAAACAGGAGATAAAGTTCTCCTTTTTAAATGTGTTTGGTGCATTTCAAATGTATTTATTTAGTGGTTCATAATTATGCTTTTATTTCTAATTATGTCAGTTTTGATCCTCCGTACTGCAGAAGCCTGATAATCATCATTCATATCAGGTGTGTTGGAGCAGAGAAACAAGTAAAACCTGCAGGGCTGCGGCCCTCCAGGACCATGATTGCCCATGCCTGACATAGAGTATATACTATCTATGGTTTTAACAGACTGTTCAAGCTCAGACTCTTCAGTATAACCATCTGATACAAAAGTAGTGCTCTGCATACTAGGGCATTCATTCAATTGAACTACAACTATTATTATTATTATTATTATTATTATTATTATTATTATTATTATTATTATTATTATTATTTTAGGTTAAAGTTGTTTGGAAAGCTGAAATCGTCTTTTGAACTGAATATCTTCTGGTTAGCTGTTATGCTGCGTTCACACCGAACGCGATTTCAGCTTCAAAATCGCAGCCAACGCTGAAGTTTGAAGCTCGTGCACTTTGAGGTCAGACGCAGGTCAGCTCTTGAAGCGCTGCACGGGAAGAGCCTCCCCGCCCCTCCCTCCTCTGTCGGGCTCTGTTTAATGTCGGACGAGGAAGTGGCTTTGCTTTATTTACAGAGAGCAAGAGCATGTCACGTTCATCAGATAATTAATTCATAATTAATTCACCAGATAATTCAGAGACATTCTGAGTTTCATCACCCAGGAGCTGTGGGAGAGGCTCACAGCTCGCTTTCAGGACTATTTTTGTCCCGAGTCCAGTCTGATGAGCCGCTGCCACGCATTGGTGTGGATATCTCCTGTCAGGACACCGACTGCAGCACTCATTTTCAGCTAAAGAGCTCCTCTCCATCTGTTTCAGGTTAGTGGACATCATTCAGTAAACTGTCCCGTCGGGAAATATGTCACTACGTCACACAGTGGAGTCTCTCTGATTGGTTGACGCGGCGCGTCGAGCTGCAAAAGTTCAGATTTTCTAACTTCAGCTATTTGCGCCTCAACGCGTCGAACACTCAGATCGTTCAAATCATTCAAATCGCGCTGCTTTAATCGCGCTTGAGGCGCCGCAGCACTTCCCGACGCTGCTTGAAGCGCGTCCACCATAGACTTTGTATGTAAACCTGATGCTCCTGATGCTGAAATCGCGTTTGGTGTGAACGCACCATTAGTGTCATGCCTCCAGCAGCATTTATTTCCGACTCTCCAAATTGAAGTGCCTCCATCTGCTTCTGGTAAGATGTTGACTACTCGTGATCACTGAAAACAACCCCACTTCAAAAAAAACTATCCCTTTTATGTTAGAGTGGATGACTAAGAGCTACCCCATTCCATGACAGGAAAGTGCAGAGCAGATATGGGTCTTATCTGTATGTATCGGTTTACCAGAGCTGATTTTCTTCTCACTCTGAATTGGAAGCAGCTCTGATGTGGGCTGATTTTCACTCAAATGGGGTTCTAAATATATTCAATAATTTGTATTCTGTTTGCAAGATGGGAAAAATACTTGTGTGGTTCTGTGAGCTATTTGCACGATCAATGTAATTTAGTATCCAAAGCCGCATCTTTTTCCCTTTATCCCAGTAAAAGCGATGCCTATATTTTTGAATTACAGCTGTTATGAGGTTTTGCTCTTCCACTTCCATTTGAAGCCTTGCATCTCTCTCTCTCACACACACACACATATACATACATATATATATATATATATATATATATATATATATATGGTATTGTATAGAGTGTCTGCAGCTTTTACGCACACAAAGCACGGTCCAGCCTGATTCCGTATGTATGACACGGTGCTGCGTGAAAACTGAGTCAGTCTCAATAACACCAGTGCTGGTCCCTGGGACACCATGACCGACTGCTGGCATTATTCTGACTGCCCCAGTAACAGGTGATGTCATCCACTGAGAAGGTGCCTCGTCTACATGGAGGTTTTCTTGATTCTCCTTTGATCGGAGTAAATCGGTCACCTTAGAAGCCCAAGACCACGTGTCAAACTCAAGGCCTGTGGGCCAAATGTGGCCCGCGGGTGACTCCCGTCTGACCCGCCAAGGTAGGCACCCCCCCCCCAATTATTTTTATTTTTTACTTAATATGAAAATTGTTTTATATCAATAGGAAATTATATATTTACCTCCGCCAAGGGCAAGGTAATATTTTCGGTCACGTATGTCCGTCTGTCTGTCGTTCAGTCTGTGGACAATTTTACTCAAAAACTTGTGGACGGATTGTCATGATATTTACAACACATGTGGGTACTGGGCCAAGGAACACATCTTTACATTTTGGTGATTTTCCGGATCACGATGCGGATACAGGAATTTTTTTCTTTTAACCCTCTGAGATCAGCAAAGCTGTGATGCTTTCACAGGGCTTCTGTAAAAACCATTGAGCTGGATTGGACAGCACGGACTTCAAAGTTTATAAAAGTAATGTTAAAACCACATTTAATGATGAATAATTTTTGCCATAATGTGCACATTTACAGAATGTTTTGTGACCAGGAAGTGCGTGACTGCACCGTGAAACCCATTTTTCCCATTTCCTTAAACCAGGGGTGTCAAACTCCAGTCCTCGAGGGCCGCTATCCTGCATGTTTTAGAGGTTTTCCAGCTCCAACACACCTGATTCAGTGATTGAATTAACTCTTCAAATTGGGCAGAAGCCTGTTAATCACCCAGCGATCAAAATCAGGTGTGTTGGAGCAAGAAAACCTCTAAAACATGCAGGATAGCGGCCCTTGAGGACAGGAGTTTGACACCCCTGCCTTAAACACACCACATTTTCGAAACAACCAATCAAAACAGTTTCTCGCTACCAGGCTTGTAAACAGAGAGCTGCCGGGCCTCAAAGTTTGGAGACGGGGGGAGCCAGAAGCACTTTATAAAGAGAGTCAAACCATTACAAACTCATACAAGGGGATAAAACAGACATTTTACATGGTGAAATGTGACTGATGAAAACTTAGGAGCTTAATCCCACACCAGTTTGATGATGAATAACGGTGACAAGTCTGACTTTTTTCTCACATTGGACTCGACAGAGAATAAATCCCGTGCATACTGCTGCTTAAATGTTCACTACGTCAGAACTTATTTGGCAAATGTGTTTCCATCTCTGCTTTTATGCATTAACTGTTACAGGATGGGGGAAATTGGTCTTGGCGGATGTTTGCACTCTCTGAGTGCTTCTAGTTATGTTATAAAATGCAACAAACTAAACCAGGGGTTCTCAATTTTTTTGGGTCTGTGGACCCCTTTCAAGGGTGAAAAATTTCCAGGGACCCCCTCATAAACCCCGTGCTGTTTTAAAAATAATGGTGAAAAATTTCCAGGGACCCCCTCATAAACCCCATGCTGTTTTAAAATAGTTTACCTCTAATTTTAACCCCCTAAAAACATGGGAATATTATTTTTGCATAGGTTTTAGTATGTTTGTTTTTCTAGTGCATTGTTACTCGTATGCATTTTTTAAAAATAAAACCAATTTTGAAATTTATTTAAAAAAATTTGAGGACCCTCAAGATGGGGCTTGTGGACCTCCCGAGGTCCTGGGACCCCAGTTTGAGAACCTCTGAACTAAAGAAATTTAAAAGGTTGTAGATAATAATACTTGCCCTGCCCCTGAGCTGTTGGCTTTATTTCATTTAGCTGAATTACACAGTATCACTGTTTTGAACTTAGCTGCTTTACAGCCAGCATTGACCATAAACTACATTTCCCATAATGCATGTTGATTATTGGGAATTCCCTGTCTTAAAGTGTGAGAGTTCAGAATTCAAGATGGCAGCTGCTCACCACAACTCATCAGTAAATAAAACTCTTACTTTTACTTTTAATAGTATTTTTGTATTATTCATTTCACATTTAGTCAGTTGCACACAAAGTACTTCTTAATGTTTACAAGAGGATGTTAAAATGCTGTTTTTATGCAGGAAATACCAGGTAGAGCTCAATTATTGTTTGTTGATGAGGAACGTGACGTTTCACTTTTAGTCAAAGTTAAACATGAAACCATAACGTTCCTTGGTGAAAAGGAGTTTGACACCCCTGCCCAAGACCATCCATGGGAAGTTAAACTGATCAACAGAGCTTTAAGTCCAGTTTAGTAGTCTTTCCCAACCTGTCATAGTCACCGTTGCAGAGCGCTCTAACAGGGATGGTGAAGGGCTGCCACACCGGGTTCAGCGTGTTCTTGATCACCTCCGTCTTGTGGCAGATGGTGAACCTGATGGGAAAATGCCAGATGTGAGCCACCCGCCCCCAAATGGGAGAGTGCATTTATATTGCGCTCATCAAACCTGCAGAGATAATCATCCAGTGCAACTCTACATAAAGCTTTTACAGTAGCGTGTAATCGCTTAAACGTATCTGGGCGACAAAATCATTGCCGAAGAACTGTTATTGTTACAGACAGCTCAAAGAGGCACATCTGTGAAAGACAGCAAAATAAATAAAYAAAAAAACTGAAAAAAGATGAGCCCTGGTTTGTTCTACAAGCTGAATTAGAGGTCTCAGGCAGCTGAGATGATTTATGAAAAAACTGGGCTGTGAACCAGATGGGATAATTGGTATGATTGGATGGATGTACTGAAAGTATAAACCTCAGTTTTTTTTTCAGTGGGGACGGCACCACAGTCTTCCTCAGTCCTCTTTCAGCTTTACACCATGTAACACCAGTGGATTTGCTGAGAGTTTGGTGCTTCGATCAGGATTTGCTGTTAGTAATGGTGGCACTTTGAGATAATTGCCTGAAGTGGTTTATAGCAGCAACTCCATCCTGTGGCCCTTAAAAGCTAAACAAGCTTCTATTACTTATCTTTTTTTTTTTACTTAAATTGATGTAATATTTGATGCTATGGAGCCTGTGAGTGGACATGGGAGATTTTTTTTCTTTTGCGTTCCCACACAAAAGTATTGCATGGGAACACAAAAGTCATTAAACACTGTTGTGCCTGCCGGTTTAACAACAAACTCACATGTTCACCATTAGCGAGTTAGCCTACTGCTTTAATTCAGCTTCAGAATGAATATATCACACAACTACGCATGGAAGTATGTCATACGCCGATATTTTAATACGGTGCAGCCACGCAACATCAATGTGAATTTCACAAACTGTGGCGACACATCCAGTTTTGGTGACTGGATATTTCAAAATAAAATTCTGATTTAATTCAGTTCATATTCAAAACAAACTTTTGTGCGGGAACGCAAAACAATATTGCGAATGAATGCAAAGGTATTGTGAGGTAACGCAAACGTATCGCGAGGTAACGCAAAGATATTGTGAGGTAACGCAAAAGTATTGCGAGGTAACGCAAAAGTATCGCGAGGTAACGCAAAGATAATGCGAGGTAACGCAATAGTATTGCATGGGAATGCAAAAGAAAAAAAAAATTCACCCATGTCCTCTCGCGGGCTCCGTATGATGCAGCAGTGATGTAGAGGGATCCTGAGTATTTTTGCTGCCATGTTTATAATAATGAACGTGTACGTTTTGAATGTCTTTTCCATGTTTGAACTGTTTTTTAACATGTCTGTTAGTTTTTTCCTTTTAAACAAAGATTGTTATTTGCTAGTCCTCCAAATATGTGTTGGGAATCAGCCTCGGTTGTATTTTAGGTCAGGATTTGTAAACCTGTTGAGTTGTAGCAATCTTAATGGTTTTTTAAGGTCCGTTATCTGTGGCAGCCATAATGATATCAGTGGTTCATGAAATGTTTTGCTAACAAACAGGTAACAATGATCAATACTGAAATATTCATACCAGAAAGTTTTGCTCTAAAATGCTAGTATCAGAAATACTGATACTTTGATACTTCAGCCATTTCAGGTAATGTAGCCTATATCATGAACAGAAACAAAGTGGAAAGTAACTAAACTGTTGATTTTTTGTTTAAATCATGTGTTTAAACGGAACTACTTTTTCTTCCGCCTGGAGAATGTGTAAGTACAGCAGCAGGTGCTCAGTCTGTAGATGTTACATGTTATTATGTTCTTGTAACTAATGAAGATTTAAGTAGTTCTTAATAATCAAACAATATATTTTAATGGTTTTATAATTTTATTTCATTTTTATTGTTAAAGACTATTTATTTTGTATGATTGTGTCCCCTTTTTTTCTGTTGAATTAGCTGAAGTATATGGTAAACGATGATGCTACAACAATACATATGAAAGAGGATTAGGGCCACTGGAAAAAATAAAGAATTCTGACATTTTTCTAATCCTGAGAAACAAATTCTGACTTTAATCTCTCTTATTCCTAGAATAAAATCCAAATTCAGATTTTTTTCTCAGAATTCTCAGATTAAAGTCAGTTTCCGTGGCCCTAATCCTCACTTTCGAGTTTAAAAAGGATAAAAAATTACCTGAGGTAGTTACTTGAAATGCAATACTTTTTTTTGTTTTGTTTTGTTTTTAGATTTACAGGACACATTCGGTGAATTTGCACAAGTAACGGATCAATATCACCAATATCAGCCTGAGTTTTACTCTGCATCAGAATCAAAAAGAAAGCCGGTGGTAATGAACATCAATAGAAACAGTCAAAAACATGAAATATCTAAAATATATAGTTTACGCTCGTAATAACCTTCAGTGAAATTTGTGTTAAAAACCCGAGCGAACCCTCAAGCCCACCCCCACTGCTCACACTTACGTTCCATCCTCGTTGCTCCGGTAGAAAACCAGGAAGGGGTCAGACTTTCCAAAGAAGTCCTTCTTATCCAGCTTGTTGGCACACAGCTGCATCGTAGCAATATCCTGTCGAGGAAGACGAGCGGATGTCAGCACGGTGACGCAGCGCCGTCTCTGCAGCCTCTTCTCTTTAGGAATTCATTTCTACGCTACAAAACTCAGAGCAGGACTCTGCAACTCTTTTTGAAACCTAAAAAATCTCATAGAACGGGGCGTAATAGGTAGTGTAAAAAACAAACAAACAAAAAAAAACATGCATTATGCAGATATAAACGTAGAGCTAAACTTCAAGCAGCAGCAGTCGGATCACTTTAAGGGTCCCATGTATGTCAGAGCCTTGGTTATGGATTTTTTCATATAAATTACACATTTTATTAGTGGGGAAAATAAATCTTATTAAGGGGTGTCTGCAATAAAGACAGAGAGGCAGAGGGGAATGCTTCATACATATGTATGAACGGCTGCAGCAGTTAATGAGGAGCTGTGCTTTCTTTTCCTGCTACAGTGTCGAGCTGCCTGGGTCAACAGAAGAAGGAAGGAAATAAGGAAGAATATATAGACTGATGAATAATTAGACCTCTTAGTCGATTTCTCCTGAGGGAGGGCATCATGGGAAACCCTAAGCTTGCCATTGACAGCGTTTGGATCTTGTTAGGGGCAAAACCTCCCCGAGTAGCAGCGGTAAACACAGCTAAGATAAGCCTGTTCATACAATGGTCTCTGGAGCGCACACGGACACACACACGGCAGCAGAAGGGAGAATCGGGACGCTGCTGGATGCTGCTAATATATGAATGTGCAAAACCGGGGAAGAAAATCGCTTCATAGCAGAAATCCAAGCAGTTTGTCTCAAATCCATTTAGAGCAGCAAGGAGAGGTCTGACAAACCAAATACGATGTGCTTAACCTTAAGGGAGAGTTGGGATGGGGCACAGACTGGTTATCTGTTTCAACCATCAAATGGTTTTTTCCTGTTCTCTGCCAGTGTGTGCACGTGGACGGGTTTGTTTGTGTGTGGAAGGACCCAAATGCAAAGTGCTCGAGAACCGTCACAGAAGATAATTATCTGTCTAAGTTTGGGTGGTGTTGCATTACCGCGCGTGTGTTTGTGTGTACTGACCCTGCAGTTACTGAGCTCCTCAGCAGTCAAGATTATGACTCCACACTTCTTCCCCGGAATCCCGCTGAGATGGCGAGGAGAGAGAGAGAGAGACGTGGGTAACTGTATTGAGGCATGAATAATAAAAGTGCAAAGCAGATGTCATTCAGAGCCATAAGCTGTTCCTCTGCCAGCAGACGCTCACGCGCAGGGCCCCGCGCTCACCCTCTAATGGGCGAGCCATTTTTAAAAATGGACACGTGGAAATTAGCTGAAGTTCCCCGACATCGTGTTAGCTGTCACACTAAGTACAGCTGTTTCCTGTACGAGCGCTCAGGCAGCCCTGTCAAACTCCATCACCACATGTCAGATGTGGTGACAGATGAGAAATACTTAGCTTGTTTCCAAGGACTGTTTATATCACTTTCTGTCTCGGCTGTTTTTTCTTTTTTATTTATTTATTTAAAATATTGCAGAATTTACCCAACCTGTTCATTCCTATTGTTTTCCAGCTACTTTCTACAGTTTTTATTTTTTTTCCCCCCCAGAAAGTCACCGGTTCTGAGGTTTACATTTTCCTTTTAAAGATGAAAAATACTGTATATCAGGGGTGCCCAAACATTTTTCCTGAGCAGGCCAAAATTAAAATCAATCTGAGGGACGCGGGCCAAAAGCAATAATATAAGAAATGCTTAATACTTCAGCAAAGTTGTTTAATTTTTTTATGATTAAGCTAGCAGCCAGTGTGGTTGCCCACATTCTTTAGTTTTTTGTTTTTCAGCACATGGACACGAAGAAAATTCAACGTATGCTCAGGCAGCAAAGACTCATGGGATTTTTCATAATTTAAAATTTGAGTGTATGTGGTCTTATAAAGTGTGCAAATCTATATATGGACTTAAATATAATCTAAATGTCTCTTGTAGTTACTTGTATTTTATATTTAATCTTAACATAATTACAATCTAATAACCAGGACAACTGCTGGTGGGCCAAATCAAATTGCTTGATGGGCCAATTTTGGCCCGTGGGCCCCACTTTGGGCACATCTGCTGTATATTTTTTCTGCAAAAATGACCCTCTGAAAGCTAAGTGCTGAATGGCTTTGCTGAAATAAGCTGAAGAAATTAAAACATAGTTGTTAAAATAATAAAAGAACACTAGCTAAACATTAAGAGGAGATAAACACTTGAAAAAGCCTAAAATTACAATAAGTTAACTAAAGCTACTTAAAACAAAATGCTAACTATAAGCAAATTGAAACAAAAAGGTTTGTTTTAAAAGTTAAAAGCATCAAAACAGTTGATTAATATGGACGCCGAGAGCGGATGTTTTCTGCAGATAATTTTTTTCCATGGTTTTCCCGTTATAACTCGTTATCTCGAGATAACCATTGATATTTGTTACATCACAAGAAAACCATGGAAAAATTATATGTGGGAAACATCCGCTCTCGACTTTCGTAGTTTAATGCTAAAAGTGGCAGAAAGCTAGCTGAATGCAAAAAGAAGCAGAAGAAAGCAAAAATCTTCAAGCTTCAGCAGAAAAAAAGAAAAAAAAAGAAAGTTTGCTGAAGCAGATTTCTTATGTTGAAATAATATAGAAAAACTTAAATGAGGCAAAAACTTTTGTACACAAAACTTTAAAAAGTTTCAAAAGCAAAAATGTTCTAAAAAACAAAATTGGATCAATCTCCCAAATGACCTGATTTTTTTTTTAAATGTGAATAACGGAAAGAAAGAAAAAAGTTAGATTGCAAAAACCATGCAGGAAAAAAATAAAGCAGGAAAACACTTTTTAAAGGTATGTCTTAGCCAACCAAATATTATTTTAAAGGTTTTTTTTCTGCTTCAAATGACATAATTTGCATTATTTTTTTTCCATAGTTTGGCACCAACACATGACAAAAACACATAATTAAAAGAGCAATTGTCAAACTAGTGTCTGGTTAGACCAAGTTTGGTACAAATAAAAAGGCAGAATAGTCATGTTTCAGGAATACATAATTATTTTTAAAAACGATAAATATTAATGAAGAAGCTCTGCAGCAGCAGATATAATCAAATTATATGCTGCATGAGATTTCACACTGATTTATATGAGGAGGGAGGATACTTTGTTTTGCCTGAAGTCAAATATTCTGGTAATTTACTATATTTCTATTTCATTTTTTAGGTTTTATTCACCAACTCTTTTTAATTTTTTAATTTGTATTTTTTAATCCATTTTTAAATTATTTTTATTATTACTGTGTCCCATTCAGGCACAATAGGTGGGTAATAAACATGCTTGTTTTGATGTAGAAAAAAATAGCAGTGACTGGTTAATACTGTGGGTGACAGCTGTGCTTTTCAGATTTTTACAAAAGGAAAAAGCTGTAAAAAGGTAGACTTGTAGCCATGGTGTGACTGGATTGAAGAGCTTTTTTTTCCCAGGATTCTCGATGAACAAAGCATCATTAGCCAATGACTGATTCACTGTGTTATTAGTGATCTAAACCTCCACAGGGTGGTTTTAATGGCACACAATGACAGAAAAAGGCAACAATTACGTTTGGATTTAAAATTTTGTTAGAAATTAAAAGTTATATTTTTTAGCTGTTAAATATATTTTGTTGTGGACTTGGAGTCTCTAGGAGTGCAGAAATGTTGAATTATGCAGCAAAAATATATTTATTCTGTTTGGGTCAGATTTTTCATCCTGTTCAGTTTTCTCTATTTTCTACGACGTTTTCTGAACTATCACGTCAAATTATCAGCAATAGAATTATCAAATAAGACCTAAACAGAACTCATTTCTAGACAATGTTAAATTCATCTCATCTTAGTTTTATTTTTATTTTTTTCTGGAATAAAAAATCCACATCTGTTGCAACCGTTGCCTTTCCTATGAGACATTGCAGGTGATGAAAGAATGAACAATGGGCCTCATGCAAGAACATGTTCGTATTCTTATCCTAAATTTCTCTTACTTTTGTTCGTACAAAGGGTTCGTACGAACATGTCACGTCAGATTCAACAAACTCTTCTATCTTCAGGAAAAGTGTGTAAATGAGCTGCGTAAATTCACCTGTTCTATCCAGCTGCTCGTGCACGCGAGAGGAGATTAGCATAATTACCACCCCAAAAACACCATATAAGGCTGTGTTTCCTGCCTCAGATATCAGGAAGTGTCCATTCATTCATGAGAAATGACAGCGAAAATTATAAAGAAGGAGAACTTTACGAGTTCAGAGATTGAAGTCCGTCTGTCAGAGATCCAGAAAAGAAAATCTGTCATTTTTAGCAGGTCAGCTGTGGAATAAAAAGAGCTGCTAAAAGTATAAACAACTGTGTTAAATCATTTTCATTTATTCAGAAGACACACCGTCGCGCACCGTATTTTACTAAATAATAACCATTTCTGTGTTTTCTGAAGTCAATTGTCATTTCAGAGCTATAAGAAAAAATTACAAGAGCAAAATTGATGAGATTTGGGGGTTTATTTGCATCCCAAATCATCTTATTTTGTCTCCTTTTTTCAGGAAGTTTTCAAGGTTACAGCTTGTTATTGTGCTTTCACTTGCTTTTGTTTCTCTTCCATTAAATTTTACCCTGAATTCGAGGTTATGACAACAAAGTGATTGTAGAAGGACAACATAACAGATGAAAACCCTGAACAAGGAACAAAACAGTGCATGTGTTTAAACCTGATGGAGAAAAAGGAAACTGAAGCAGACTGAGGTTATTAGAGAAAAATGGGTGGATGGTTTTGCAGACAGTGATGGATCAAACCAAAGAGCTGCTTTATCTCACAAGTTAAATGAAAGAGTAAAAAACAATGATAAGATTAAACAAGAAAACAGTAGTTATCTTAGCATGCAGCCAACATTAAACTAAAAATTAGGACATTAGACACATCTGATTACACATGAAAATTCTAATAAAATATTTGGGCGGATTTCTTTGCACTGAGTCTGTAGAACATAGTCTATTTGTTTTCATATGACTATGAAAAGAAACAGGAACTTGCTCTGTTTAATTATGACAGATGCATTGTGGTGCTTTCAAGTGCCAAGAACAAGTAACCAGTTCACCAGCGGGGGGGGGGGGGGGGTAGAGCTCTACAGTTCTGCATCGGCAGGAACCGAGAACCATCGGCCCAAACAATGTTTGCTCACAGTTCCTCTGCCAAAAATTTGGCGAGCCAGTACCCACAGCAGCCGTGGATTTATCTTCTTGGCAAAGCTGTGGGGAGTCTGGGGGGCAAAGGGTGCACCAGCGCCCCCTGCTGGATGCCAGGGGAACTGCACGACCCAAAACAAACAATTTAAGGGGAAAAAAAAATAATGAAACCTTATTTTGTGCGTCCTCCATGTTTAAATTCCAACAGATTTTTGTAAATCTGGTAGCCAACATAAACCAGAACTCTTACATTATATGTGTGCAGGACTGTTTTATTTTGAAGTCAAATATGGAGCTTATGTTGCTTAGTGCTTTTAGCTTTGTCACTTGGAATTTGTCAAAACATACATAACAATTGCCTAAAGCAGGGCTATTCAACTGGTGGCCCGCGGGCCACATCCGACCCACGAGTGACCAAAATTTGGCCCGCTAATTGGTTTATTCATCTCTTAAGTCCAAACCCCCAGTTTTCAACTTTAATTCCTATAAGTCCTTTTAGTTAAACATGGACTTGTTTGGTATCTACAGAAACGTCAGAGTCTTGGGCTGGTAAAAATAACTTTTCTATGAATATCTTAGACAGTTAAAACTACAAGCAGTTGAAGATAAAACTATGAAAGTGAAAATAAATTAGTTTACAAATTTGGCAATTTAGAGATGTCAGAATAATATTAGTGTTAAATATGAGGCATGTTTTTTTATTTTTTGTTTTTGAAATTGTTTTATCACTACATTTATTACATAGGGTTCTGTATGTTACATCCATGATTAAATGCAGCAAAATAAACTAATTCAAAGGTAACAGATCTTTGTAATACTTGGTTTATTTACATAATGACTTTAATTGCTGGACGTTTGGCCCTTGTGCCGTTGGTCTGCAGTAACTGTGACCCCCGGAGCAATTTAGCTGAACAGCCCTGGC